ACGAAGCGCAAAAGCGCCACCTATTCCTCTGTCTCTCCTGAACCGCGCCAAGTATATCTCACCGCACTTACGGCGCAAGGCCAACGTCAAACACGTGGCAATGCGAGCAGCTTAGGGCGACGAGGCCTGGTTGCGGCCGCCGCCGCTTCCCTGCTGCCGTGCCATCCCCAGCCGCCGCATTCGACGTCTCATCGTGTCGAACAACTTTGGGGTTATATTGCTTTGCGTCGCAGCGCGCACTAGGAGCTCCCGGAGCCACTTTCATGTCATTCTCGCGAGACGGTTCCCGCTTCGACAACAACTGCTAGTAGTAGCGCGGCGGCTCCCGCCGCCGTACGCATTGCGCGCCGCGGTTGCCCCCCCCCCCCGCGCGAATGTTCAGCTCGACGCGGCGCGAGCGAGCAAGCAGCGACGTGCTGACCATGGCGCCGCGCCACCCGCGATGGAGCCGAGAGAATGCGCGACGAGAGCCGCGACTCGACATGCCATGGTCCCACGCTGCCGCCGCTGCCCTCGCTGGCCCTGCTGCCTCTGCTGCTGTTAGGAATGATTCTCCCGTTGCTCCCGCGTCTGCCGCAGCGGGCGCGGCATCGTCCACTCCGTCCTGTGCCGCAGGCGCGCAGGCTACGCGCAAGATGTCCGTCCTTTCCCCGCCGCGAATCACGCCGCCATGCGACGACTCGTCAGAAGCGCCTCCACCGCGCGGCGTGGGCACGACGTCCCCCCAGGCGGCGGAAGCAGTGGTAGCGCCGATGACGGCGAGTGACTCGCGGATGGGCGGTGGTCGCGGGCAGCTCGAGTCTGAGCCACGCGGTTCGCTCCTCGTCGCCAGGAAACATCAGCCATTGCCGCCCAGAAGCATGGCAGTAGACGGCGGAATTTACGGCGGCGTCCTCGGCGGCAGCGGTGGCGGCAGCAGGACGGCGACGCGAGCTATTTGTGGTAGTCCGCGTGTCGTTGAAGGGCATGCGTGTGAGTGGCGGCAATCGTCCACGTCATCCGTTGGCACGAGAGGATTTCGCGACGTGGCACGCGTGCTGCCCGCGAGGGAAACGGCCTGCGTCTCCGGCAGGGGATCGCAGGTAGAAGGTAATAAGATTTATATGCTTTAGAAAACTAAATTCGATATCCTAATGCGTGCGACCTAAAATGCCTAAGTAAGTCGAGGTTGTGGAGAACGGTGGCTGGGAAATAGGACAAGAAGAAGGGTTTGGGTTGGAGAGAGCGGGGGAGGTGGGGGAGAGGGATTGAGGAAGTCTGGACGGACTCAAGGCGCTTGGGTGGAAGAGGAATTAAGTGGTGAGGATGAGGCGTGGGGCGTCTATGAGATATGTTTGACAGTGCCATTGGGGCTGCCGGCTCTAACTGGGGTATTTAGTTACTTTTTGTTTGTTTGTTTGTTTGTTTGTTTGTTTGTTTGTTTTTTTTTCTGTAATGATTTTGTTCCTTCATTCCTTTTTCAATGATTTGTTTCTTCTATTGTCTTCTATTGTTAAAATTCCTTTGTAACGGATTTTTTCTGTTTTTTTTTTTTTTTTTTTACACCTTAGTATTGCTTCCTACCTTCCATCGCCACCACTTGAGTGTGTTGCACGGTCTCTCTCTTTGTTGCCCTCCCTCTCTCAAGCGGTCCGTGTATTAGATCCGAGCAAGTACAGACATGCACCAAGGATATAGGGTCTAGAAGCAACAAGGGGCCTTTAACACTCCTATATCCTACTCACACCCTTGCCCCCTCTAAGGGAGCTCCAGAACCGGCTCCAGGATGGCCAGGCAGTCCCCAAGGGACATGCCATCGCCCGGCAACTCCACAGGTGAGTTCTCCACCTGAGCTGCGAAGTTACACTTCGTCATGAAGGCCACGGACTGAGCCCGCTGCAACGCCACGGACCACCGCTGGCGGAACTGGTGTAGCAGCTTCGTTGCCTGGTAAGATGATGGGGCCGCATTGAAGTGCCTGCGGGCGGCAGTGTCGGCTAGCAGTTTGAGAAATTGGGGGACTTCCGCACAAGGGCAGCCGTAAGTGTCGACGGCCAGTGGGAAGAACCCGACCCACGAGGCCGTTGAGCCCTCGTAATCGGAGATCTTCTTCTCTGCCGCCTCACGGGCTGCCCACCCCCTGCCCTTGACCGCGTTGGGGTCACGTGTGCTAATGGGGTCCGTGATGGTAACGTCCCCAATCCACACGGCCCCTGAGGTCTTGTCTCTGATTGCTATGTCGGCCTTCTTTCTTGTGACGGGACAGAACGCCGTCGTCTCGCTGTGAGTCATGAAATCCGCGTCGCTGGCCATCCGTAAGCATTCGTCGCGCAGCTCGTTGTGAGTGTTTGTCCTCCCCTTCCCCGTGTCACAGCGCAGGAGATGGTTGGGCAGCCGCCTATCTGGGATTAACGTTTCGTTGCGGCAGTCACAGGCACCAGGGGCCGAAGAGGGAAGCCCCATCCGAAACTCCAGCGCGTGAGCAAAATGGGCCGGGGCAAGGCGCAGCGAACTGTTGAAGGGTACCGCGTTGAGCCAGTCTCCCGCCCCGTACCCCGAGAGCGAGAGCATGCGCTGCGTGTGCCCGCTAAGTGGGTTCAACGGCATGATGCGTGTGGCCTGCACCTGCTCGGCGTAGCGCTGGCCATGCACCGCGATAGCCAGCCCCTGCTGCAACTTGACACCCTTGGGATCCGCCCGGTCGCTCTGCAGCAGCTCCTTTCCCTCGTCCGGCAGCGACTCCTCGCACCGCTCCAGCCAATCAAATAGGGGGGTCGTGTTGATAAAGGGCCCCTTCATCCGCATCCGTACTTCCGCCAGCGCGCCTATTGCTGCCTCGTCAATAGAGGTGAGTAGGTGCTGGGCTTGGGTGTAGCTTGCAAGGAAACCCACGCGTCCTTCCACCGAGGGGTCCGTTATCCCCAAGCCTCCAAGCGAGATCGGGAGCGAGGCTTGCGCCCAGGTACGTGAAATCTCATCCTCCCCCCGGGGGTGGCGGATGCCACAAGCCGTCAGCAACGTCTCGAAGAGGCGCTTGCCCCAGTCGGACCATTCCTCAACAGGTAAGGCAGAGAGGGGTGTGGTGCGGGCAACATAAGAGACCCGTCGTGAGATGCACCGCGTGAGCAGAAGTGAAGCCAACTGTGGCTCCGTCCGCTCGATTAAGGGGAGGGGCCCGCCCATGTTGTCAATGCTATCGCGCAGGAATGCCGCCGTTGCTTCGGTACCACCAATAAAACTACCGAGCACCTTCACTCCATCATCCACGAAAGGTACGCCCTCTGGAAGCACCGCTCCTCGCCGACCTGTCTGTGACCACGCCGCGCATTTGTCTGGATTGTGGCGCAGCCCAATCTCCCCAAGGTTCCCCGTGAAATCGTCAAACGCCGCTGCACACGAGGCTGGCTCTCCAAGAAAGGTGACGTCGTCCGCGTAGGCAAGGCACACCACGGACGGGAAGGTAAGAGCCGACTTCGCCAGAGCAGGGTGAATGGCAGCAGCAAAAAGCAGTGGACCGAGGGGGTCTCCCTGCCGCACTCCGGTCTCGCTCAGAAGGGGTGGGTGTGAGAAGCCGGCGTCTAGGCAGAGGGCCGAGGGAAGGCCGTACAACAGTTTTACCAGCGGCAAAAGGGAAGCGAGAGGGGATCCGCGGAGCGACGTGACGATGGCTGCCCTATTCACGCTGTTGAACGCGTTCGCCAGATCCGCTTGGAGGACCAAGGCCCCCGTGTGCATTGTAAGATAGGTGCGTGTGATGTGGATAATTGCTTCTGTCCCCCCAGGAACCGCCACGCCAAACTGGTGCGGAAGGAAGAATTCTCTAGCGGCTCCTGCGGTCAAGGTAAGCGCTGTTTTTGCAGCTAGGCGTGTGATGCTTTCGCCAATAGCAATTGGCCGCGTTCCTCCATCGGGCTTGGTGAGGGCAATCAGCCGCGAGGCAGTGAGAAGCTCGGCTACTGCTGGTGGTAGCTTTCCTGTGAGTATCGTGTTGACGAGTGCGTGCAGGTGTTTCCCGACGGAGTGGTTGATCAGCGCCGCATCACGTAAGTGTTCGAATGTTGTTCCAGAGGGGCCCGCTCCCACTCCCATCTCACAGCTTCCCAGCACCTTGGAAAACACTGCGAAGGGTGCAGATAGGCCTGGGTCAGGTGCAGGGAAGGTCCAGTCCGATACGGAGGTAGGTGCCGGTGGATGCTTGGCGCGCAAGGCCTCCAGCACACTTGGGGAAGGAGTGCTAACTGGCGTGGCTTCTAGCGCCAGCACGGCACGCCGTAAGCTGCCACGTCGCGCGAGACCTTCCGCCCTTGCGATGACGCCAATGTCATCGGGCTGGTGTCTGGGTGGCTGGGGCCACGAAAGGGATGCCACTGTTTCAGTGTACAGTTTGTCCCATTCTCCAGACAGAAACTGGCGAAGGCGGGTCTCAACAGCCTTCCAGTCTGGCCGACGTGGTGACATCTGGCGGAGAGTCAAACGTGCGACGAACAGCAACAACGTCCAAGCAGAATCCGAATCTAGGTTTTCAGCCAATCGCAGGAGAGGTACAAGCAGTGCTGTGGCGAAGAGTTTGCGTGGGTTTGATGGGAGGTGGCGGGAGAGAGGGGCGTGGCGAGAGTCGCGCAATTTCGCTAAATCCCAAGTGGTCACGCTGGCGAAAAGGGCGTCATCCTTGGCAAGAGATTCTGGGGATCTTTCCTCAGGGGGTTGGGGTTGAGTGTGGTTTCCACCAGTGGCAAAGTGTGGGGCGGTTTGTGATGGGGTTGGAAAGTTGGAAATTGAGGTTGGTGGTGATGGTGTAGCAATAATGCCCGTCGCGGCGCGGGTTGGTGTTGGAGGCCCCCTCCGCCCTATGGACCGCGGAGCCGTGCCACCTCCCCCAGTATGGGATGGTGTGGCTCTTCCTGCTCTAACTGGAGTCTGGTGGTGTGTCTCATCCACGGACTCAGAACTCGAAGTTGAATCCGTCGATTCAGCAGGTACAAAGCTGCTGTCCGAAGTACTGCTTTCAGTATCCCCATTCATTAAAGCCCGCCTTCCCGCCTGCTGGTAGGCGTTCTCTGGCCCGCCTCCGCGCGCTCGCCCTCCGCTGCCCGCTGTTCTTCCCCCGCGTCCAGCAGGAATCGCCCCCGTTCGCTCCCCGTCCGCGTTTGGCGCGGATTCCTCCCCTCGCCTTGATGGAGACGACTGCTGCCCCCGGCCGCGACTGTACCGCGGAGAGCGAGCCTGCTCCCCGCCCGCATCCTCCTGCGCGACCTGCCGCGAGCGTCCCTGTCGCTCCGATGGGGGTGGATGAACAGATCCGCCGCCGATTCGAGGAGCAGCGGCGCGATCTGCAGCGGACCCAGTCGCGCAAAGATCAGGCGCCCGCGGAACCCGTCGTACGCTCCGGCGAGGAGGCAGTGGCGCACCGGGGGCGGTCGCCTCGGCGCCGCTCGTCGGTGACGCGCGAGGAGGGGCAGGCGAACCGCCGCGGTGATCGCCGCGAGAGATCTCCGTCGCCCGTTCCGCCGCGTTCGCCGCGTTCGCCTCGTTCCCCCCGTTCGCCTCGGCCCGCGGTATCGCGGAGCCGGTCCCGAGATCGTTGGACGCGCCGCCACCAGTCCCCTGCTCGCCGTTCGACGCGGCAGCGATCACCTCATCGTCCCGCCTCTCGTCACCGATCCCCCGCTGCGCATTCGTCGCGGCCGTCAAAACGCCAGCGGCTTCACTCTCCTCGTCGCGGGGGCCGATCCCCTGGGCGACAGCGCCAACGCGTGCAATCTCGCCCGCAATCTCCCGCGCGGTCGAATGTGAGTGGGCGCCATGGGCGCCGTGGAGGCTATGGCCGTGGCGGGGCGGCGCCGCGGGCGCCGTCCGCGATGGAGCGCGTGCTCCAGAGGCTGGACGGCATGGAAGAAGCCATTCATCGTACGAGGGCGGAATCGTCGTCTCGTCCCGCGCGTCCACCTGCTCCCGTTGTTCCACTCGCTGCCCTCCTGCCGCATGATCCTGAGGGCTCCCTCGTGCGTCCTGGTCGACCGTTGCCTGCTGGGGCCGGCTTCGTGGGTGCGGGGGGTGGTGATCCGTGGGCCCCGTTTGTTCCGCCGCGCCCTGCTCCACCTCCACGCGATTATGCAGTGTCGTCTCGTCGAGCTCGAGCTTCTGCGGGGCTGCCGGCGATGAAGGAAGTGCCCACGGCGACCCTGGCGCACTTATGGTCGCTTGCGGAGTGCCTGCAGGGTCTTGAGGTGGTCCTAGTGGAGTCCCATGGCTCCATGTCGGTGACCCCACCGAGCATGTTCTCTCAGATGCCGCGAGCAAGGTGTCACGCGGCGGCGTCAGCAATATTCTCGTATGTATCGCCACTGCAGGCTGCGCCCTTGCCGGGAGTAGTCTCGGCCACCCAGCTGGTTGAGAAGGCCCTGGATCTGAAGACGCTTGTAGGAGATTGTGGAACTCCTGTTGACGTTGTCGGCGCCACCGCGTCAGTGGTCCGCTTGATGTGGCTGACCACGCGCGAAATGCTAGGTGAGCTTGAGGCGGACCGCATGTAGGCGCAGCCCTCGTGCGCGTGTAGACCCGCTCCATGTGATTGTGCCTAGATGTACTTGCTCGCCATTGTTGTTGTCAATGTCTTGCTAGTTGGCCTCGGTTGTGGTGTTCTTGTCACCTCTCACGCGCGGCCGAAGGCCGCGCACGCGAGCGCCGGAAAAATTGCTTTGAAGAACCAAGCGAATAATGAGTTAGATCAGAGGCCGAGAGGCCATTATATACGGGTGGGAAGGATGAAGAGGCTAAGTGCTAGAGGCTGGGTAAGATGCTCTCTCTCTCTCTCTCGCTCTCTCGAGCGAGCGCCGGAAAAATTGCTTTGAAGAACCAAGCGAATAATGAGTTAGATCAGAGGCCGAGAGGCCATTATATAGGGGTGGGAAGGATGAAGAGGCTAAGTGCTAGAGGCTGGGTAAGATGCTCTCTCTCACTCTCGCTCTCTCTCACTCACTTGCAAGCATTCTCTTTCACACACACACATACAAATGCACAATCGTTCAAACACACTGTTCACTTCATAATCCCAACAACTGGACAAGCATCAACCTTTGGCCTGTCAAGTCACCCCTTGTCCCTGCCCTTTCACCTCTTCTAAATCACCCTTTCCCCCCTCTCCCTCCCTCTCCGCCCCGCTCATCCTGGCCCCGCTCACCCTGTCCCCCGCCCCCCCCAGTCCCCCCCGCCATGAGCTCGTCCGCCTTCTCCGCGTGTCTGCTGCGCTCGTCCTTTGCCTACTACAGCGCGCCCTTCACCACCGCGCCTGCGCCAAGCGCCTCCGTGGCTGTTCCGCCAGCCCTGCCAGCAGCGGTGAGACGAGTGGGGGGGGAGATGGGGGGGGCAGGGTAAAAGGGTGTGGGTAGACGTGTGGAGTGGTGTGGGGAGGCTAGGTGTGCATGTGTGTCTGCATGACGGCGTGTGGTTAGCCTGTGTTTTGCTATAGAATGGCATTGCATGGCAATATTTGGAGCCACCAAAGGCATCGGGTGAGTCTTTGAGTGTCAGCTCAATGTGCCTCGAGTAGCTGAGTAGCTGGACTGATTGTGATCGCGTCTGATATGTCGTTGGGAATTTGGGGGCGCTGACGCTTTTCCTGAATGCGTGTTGCGATGTGTGTGTGTTCGCGCGCGTGAATGTGTGCGTGTGGGTGTGTGGGTGTGTGGGTGTGTGGGTGCGTGTGTGGGTGTGTGCGTGCGTGTGTGGGTGTGTGCGTGCGTGTGTGGGTTTGTGTATGTGTGCCTGCGTGTGTTTGTGCATGCATGCATGCATCCGTGCATGTGTGCGTGCATGTGTGCGTGCATGCGTGCATGTGTGCGTGCATGTGTGCGTGCATGCGTGCATGTGTGCGTGCATGTGTGCGTGCATGCGTGCATGTGTGGTGGTGCAGGTGACCCAGCAGGCCCCAGCCCAAATCTCCAGGACTGCTGCGTGTTGGAGTCATGATGGGGGGGCAAGCCAGGGAACAAAGGAGAGCGATGGGATTGATGGATCGGGAAGGAAGGACGGGGATTCCATGCAAGAGAAGGGAGGGAAAGAGGAGGGGGATGTGATGAGGAGAGAGAGGGGAGGTATGATTTACGGCAGGGAAAGGTCAAGGGATGGGGCAGTGATGGTGGTGGGGAGCGAGGAGGGGCAGGTGGGGAGAGAGGTATTGCAGTGTGGGGAGGTGGTAATGGGAGTGCAAAAGAGTGAGGGGGAGTGGGGAGCGGGGAGAGAGAGTGGTAACAGTCATGCCAGGGGGTGGCGAGACGTTGCAGGGAGGGGAGAGCGAGTGCAGTTGCAGCAGGGGAACGTGGGCTTGCAAGATGAGGATGGTGGCTATTGGGAAGGTGGGGGAGGAGGTGGGGATGAGAGTGAACTTCTGAGGTGCCTCAAAAGTTGGGATGAGAGTGTGGAGAAGGGTGCGGAGGTTGAGGAGAGAGGTGACCAGCAGGGGGCTATGCAGGCAGGAGCCTGTTTAACTGCCTCTGCCTCTGCCTTAGCTTCTACCTCTCTATCTACTGCTATCGCCACCCCTATACTGTGCTGGATAGGAGAGCATGGCATGGAAGGGGATGAACAGCACCAGCAGCAGAGCGGCGAGGAGAATAGGTCATGCAACGGCGGTGCGAAGCAGGATGCTGGTGCAGAAAAGAGGCGAGAGAGGGATGGCGACATCTCTGAATTTCACCCAGGCTGGACGGCAGGGGGGCTTGGTGTTGGCGCCGGAGGTGGTGGTGCTGGGGCGGTGACTTTTGAGTCGACTCAAAAGTCACCTCGCTACAATGGCACACGGCTTGGTGTTGGGGCCGAAGGGGGTGGTGCCGGGGCGGTGGTGGGAAGCCAGGGCGCATGGGCGATTTCTGGTGCTGATGCTGATTGTGATGCTGTTTGTGATGGTGATGGTGACGGTGATGGTGATGCTGGTATCTCCGACAGTGGCGTTGTTGGCAGTACTACTGATAAGGATGAGGATGGGGACGGGGATGGCGATGTGGATGGGTTGTTGGAGCTGCAAGTGCTAGATGCGGCCGTTGATGCGCTGATAGCTGATGATGATGCTGATGCTGATGCTGATGCTAATGCTGATCGGGCTGGGACTCATACTGACGTCAACACTGACAGGGTCATTGCCAACCCTCACATTATTCACACTAGTAGCTATGTGGGTGCCCGCTGCGTATCACTTGTGTCTCCTCCTCCTGCTGTTGCTGCTGCTGCTGCTGCTGCTTCTGCTGCTGTTGCTGCTACAGCTGGTGGTGCAGCTGCTGTTACGGCATCACACCCGCATGGCTTTGCGGTGCATGCTGCAGCGGGCACAGGTGTTGCGGCAGGTATACCAGCGGCGTGGTTGCATGGGACGGAGAGCATGTGCGCTGCTATGGGAAGTGACCAGTTTCACTACTGCTGCTACTGCTACTGCTACTACTGCTGCACCTCCTCCTCCTCTCACTGCATTGGCGGGTTGTGACGTGCTGGCTGGTGCTGCTGATACAGCTGGTGATACAGCTGGTGATGCTGCTGCTGCTGGTGGTTTGTATGCCGGATTAGCTCCATCTGGTGCTGCTGTGGTTGGAGGCTTGACTCAGTGCAGCATGGGAGCGAACCTGCCTCAATGCACCAGCCTCACCGACTCGGACCCTGCTGCATCCCTCCCCACCCCTCTCTTTACTCCTATCCTCCTACCGCCTCTCTTCGCCACTCCGTTTGCTCCTCCGTTCCATCCCTTCCCTCAAGACCCCGCTTCACTGTGTGCCACGCTGCCTTCTCCTCCCTCCTCCCTCTCGGCACAAGCACAGGCTGCTTGTAACGGGCCAGCAGTTGCTTATAGCGAGCCACGATTTGCTGGTGGGCTGGCGGAGGGGGAAGAGGCCGGCAGAGAGCGGAGCAGCAGCAGTAGTGGCAGGAGTACAGGCAGCAGCAATGCCAGCGGCAGTAACGGCAGTGACTTGGAGGGTGGAAGTGCAGGCGCGAGCAGGTGGAACTGTAGTGAAAGCTTCTCCAGCTGTGGCTTTGGCAGTGGGCTCAGCAGTGGGTTCGGCAGTGGTTGCGGCAGTGGCGGGCATAGCAGTGTGAGCAGCGACGACAGCACATGCAGCGATGACAGCAGCAGCTCCCACGTGTCTCCTGCTCCCCCCGTGCCTGCTCCCATGCCTGTTCTTTCATATCAAAGCCAAGGCGGACCATTCATGCCATGCAAGCAGCTGCCTGGTGCATGCAGCGCGGGCAGTGCGAGTGCGCATGGGATGAAGGCACATGTGATGTCGTCGTGGCTTATGGATGGTGCTGGGGCGAGCTTCTCTGCACCTACAGCTGAGTCCGAGCTATGGTCGGGACTAGCTGGTGCTGCTGCTGCTGGCAATGGTGGTGGTGATGATGGTGTTGCTGCTGTGAGGGGTATGTCTGTTGCTTGTAGCGGTGCTGCCGCTGGTGACGAGGATGCTATGAACACAGGAGTGCAATGGGCTGGGATCAGCATGTATCAGCTGCCACCTCCCATTCCCATACTCGCTGCACATGCACGCGCGCATGCACATGCGCATGCGCATCTGTATGGCATGGGTGTGGCACATGCAGCGGATGAATGGCATGTGTTGGCGTCTGCATGGTCGCCTTGCGGTGAGCAACACCCTCAGCCCCTCTGCCTCACTGCGCAACCACTGCTGCAGGAACAGTCACAATCACAGTCACAGGCACAGGCACAGCAGCAACTGCATGCAAAACTGGGGGCACTCACAGTATCAGTCAGCCCAGCAGCAGCACATGCTACAATATTCCCACCACCACCCGAGGGAGGAGCAGCAGCACCAGTGGCAGCAGCACCAGGAGCAGCAGCACCAGTGGCTATCCCAACAGACTTGCTCTTGCCGCATGATGTCTCCCCATCTTCGTCCTCCCCCTCCCCCCCTTCCTTCTCCTCCTCTTCTCCCTCCATCTCCCCCACGGCTTCCTTCTCATCATCTGAAGCAGCCACAGCAGCCGTGGTGTCCGTGCAGCAGCGAGTTTCCACAGACCCACACTCCACGTCTTCTCCTTGTGGTGGGTTGGGAGCAGCAGCACCAGCAGCAGCAGCAGCAGCAGCAGCGGCGGCAACACCAGCAGCAGCAGCTGTGCCGTACAGTGTTCCGCTCAATTCGAGGGGCCTGCCTCTACGTCCTGTACGTGCCCTCCTTGCTCACTGCCTGCTCATCTTCACATGTCCCACTCTCTCCTCTCTGACCCTCTTGTTTTACTCGCTCGTCTCGCCTCGTCTCTGCGTGCATGCCTTGTGCCCCTTGGGGCCTTCAAAGACCGGAGATTCTCACCACAATGCGGCACCACAACCCACTGCATTGCACCTCAGCATGCTTCCTTCCTTGCTTGCTTGCCACTTCCCTCTCCTCTTTTCACGAGCCTCATCTTGAGGCCTCTCAAAAAAAGCGCCGCGTTATTCGGCGCCTCAGTACCGATTCCTCATGCCCGCACTCCTCCCTTACCTCTCACTCCTGGATGGTCCTTCTCTAGTATCAGATACCAGCAGACACACATAGGATAGGATAGAGAAGCATGCTTCCCAAGGATGCTCCTACGCTACGCCAGTTCCAGCACAACACATGCAGCAGGTTGCCCATGAGGCGCCTCACAAAGTTCTTCCTGTGAGGCTGTTTTAACGCATGCAGTAAGTTGCTCATGGGGACCCACCGCCACTCCTAGACGAGTAATACCCATGGCAAGTATTGCCCGCTGAGTTACTCGTCCCTTTTGCCTTCGCCCCTTTTGCCTTCGTCCCCCTCTTACAAAGCATATGTATATATATATGTATATTTACATATATATACACATATGTATATATACATATATATACACACATATATATGTATATATATACATATATATTTAAATGTATATACACACATATTCACACATATGTACATGTATACATGCTTTTATACATACGTATATATACACACATTTATGTACACACATATATATACACATACATGTGTATGATTTATGGTAGTAGTAAACCCTCTGCCTAGTCGCAGGAGTGTCACTTGGCGTCGAGAAATGAACCACAAGGACCCTCGAACTTGCTGGCATCATGATGCGCAGCATGGCATGCCGTGGCACTGAGACGATCTTTGAGGCGCCCAAGGAAAGCCAAGGGGTTGCCCTGAAGGGTGCGGTGCAGAGTGAGTGATGGTGGCAGAAGGAGGAGGAGGAGGCCATCGGTGCTAGGCTTTTTTAGGCAGAGCTTCCAAGGCATGAAGAAGCAGAAACTGCCAGTGAATTATGGCGCTCGAAGCTGAGCTCCAGAGCTTGAGATGTCAAGCACTGGCGGAGCAAGAACGTTGGCTTCTGAACCGCATCAGAGTAGTGGAGGGCAGAGGCTCAGCCGCCCTAGAAGACAAGCCTGAGGCTGGCTTTCCATCCAATACTCTCCGGCACAGTTGCGACTGTTTCTTTCTCATGCACTTGTATGCACCCAAGGGAAGGGATATCTACCCCTTTTTCCTTAAACGGCCCTTTGTATCTCTATCTTACGTTGCTCTTCTACCTCCCCTGCCTCTCTTCTCCTGTCCATGCTGCTTGCGTACAGGAGAGGCCTGACTGCTCTTTCTACCTCAAGAGTGGAAAGTAAGGCCCCGCACGTTGCTCAGATCTGTGTGTGGCTGCTGCACCTTGCACAGCATGCCACTTTCGTCCGGTGCTGTGCTATGCTGCCACTCTTTCGCCTTGCTCCGTGCACCACTGCCTCTTTCCCTTCATCTGCCCTCCTCCCCATACGCATACGCCCCACCCACTCCCTACCCGCACTCATTTCCGCTCTAACCTTTTTTTATGCATCCTCCCTCTGTTGCTGCTTCTCCTCTCCTTTGCCCCCTCTCTTTCCCCACTCTCCCCTCCTTCCTCACCCCCGTTCCCTGTCCTCCCTTCCCCCAATCACTCACTCTCCCCACGCCGCAATGCCCGCCAGCTGTCGCTATGGCACGGCGTGCAAGTTCAACCATCCACACATGACTCGCCACCATCGGGCCTTCCTCCCCCCCCGTATGCAATGCACACATTCCCTTCTCTGCTGCGGGTATGCCATGATCTGTATCTCATCTCTCAGTGTCAACATTGTGCGAGTTTAGAAAAGACCTCTTCGCATGCACATGTTCCCATGTGTATTTCAGTACTGCTAGTGCTCCTACCCAAGCTCCATGTGACTTGTTTTCCTCTCCGTGCTGCCTTTATCTTTCTTTCTTTCCCTTTCTGCTTCGCCATTCCACACCATCTTGTCAGCACATGGCATGCAGCACATGACTCATGGCAAGCACATGCCACATTCCAAATGCCACATAGCACATGGCATGATGGCACGTAGCATACCTCACATCACATGTCTCTCGTCCGCACCGCA